CTACTTCCTGCCAACAAAAAAGGAACGCGATATGGATAGAAAAAAGATTGAAGAATTAATGGAAGAAAATATGACTTTGGAAATGGCACAGAAACAAAGTATGGATGAATCATTACATCTTGGCTGGGAGTTAGAACAAATATCCAGAACTAGTGAACTTTCTGAAGGTATTCCCAATATTGTTTTACTTAAATGGGTTGGTGAATAAATAAAGTTGAATTTATGCTTACATTTCTGGATATTTCATTGCAGTTATTTTCCCTAGCTGGAGATGTCTCAGCAGGCCAGCTGCCCCTAGCTATGATTTCACAGAACAATTTGTTATTTCCACATTGCTGGGTCTGATTATCTTTGCATGTCTTAACAGCGAAACTTTTTTTTGAGTGCAATCACAGATTTGATCAGTTGTTTAGGCATTATTTTGTTAGTATCATAAGAAACTAGAATACCAATTTATAATTTATTTTGAGAAGTATAGCCATCTACTAAATAGAACAGAAAAGTCACATTAACTGGTCAGCTATATTTTTACTATATTCAAACCTAAATAAGAAGTCAAAATTAGTGGGAAGAGTTTTAGGTGAATATGTAGCCAGAATAGAACAAGTTAAGGATCTCCATGGCTTTGTTCATTAGTATTTGAGAATTATTATCCCCATTTTAGGATTGTATCTACCAACCAGTTTAGCCCCAGTTAAACCCTGGAGATAATGAAAGATGCCTCCTGCCCCCAGATAAATTTTTAACTCTTGACTCTTTTTTCATAAGCTCCACTATTGACTTATCTTCTGTCTTAAAACTGGGCATATACTATACAATAAAGTTGTTTGTGTTATAGCTGGGATTATGCTAATACTGATAATACTTTCTTGAAATTACACTCAGGTCCCATTTATTTGAATTAGACAGGTTCCATAATTCCTCGTGTACCCAATATTAGATTCTTCCACCTGCTTTCCTTCAGCAGGTATTTATTAAGCACCTACCATGTGTAAAATACTATACCAGGCCCCGAGGACATAGTGGTGTGGTAGACGTAAAGTCTGAAGACGGTTTATAGTCTGGCTCTTGCAGAATAATTACTTTTACACACGTCTCATATTTGTTACCATTAGACTTTTTCTAGTTTTACACTTGAGAACCTACTAGCAAATTCTAGGACCCTAGGTAAATTCCCTACATAGTAAGTGATCATATTCATCCAGTGGGTTTGCTGAGATGTAACTTAAAGTAGTTGTGGAACTTCTTTTATTGTATTCCTTGTGAATTGAGTTACAAAGAAAGCAATTCAGACTTAAATGTTTTCTACTTTGAAAGTAGTTAAAATTACACTGTTAAGAGTTTCATCTGTTAAGTGAGGACAATAATAGTAAGTACCTTGAAGGGTTGTTGCAAGGATTGAATTTCTTTTTTTTTTTTTTAATATATTTTATTGATTTTTTTACAGAGAGGAAGGGAGAGAGATAGAGAGTTAGAAACATCGATCAGCTGCCTCCTGCACACCTCCCACTGGGGATGTGCCCGAAACCCAGGCACATGCCCTTGACCGGAATCGAACCTGGGACCTTTCAGTCCGCAGGCAGACGCTCTATCCACTGAGCCAAACCGGTTTCGGCTGAATTTCTTAATACTTAAGAAAATGTACCGGGTATATAGTAAGCATTTGAATGTTAAGCATTATGATGATGATGATCATTGTATCAGTAGCTTTGCAGTTCTTAGCTGGGGTCACATACCTGAATATTTGTTTTAATGTGGTGTCATTTTTGTTTGTTAGTTTTTTAAATATACAAGGGCTTTTCTTTCTAGAAAATTTGTAGAATATGGAAAAATATAAAGGAGGAAATCAGTCACTAATAATTTCTTAAATCATTTTCACATTTGAAAAAACTTCCAAATTTTTCTACACAGACATAGGATTTTAGACATCAGATTAATGTGTATGCACAATTCGGATTCCTTTTTGTACCTAAGACTATATTACAGGAATTCATTAATATTGTTAAAAATGTGTTGTAAGCATTCGTTTTAATTCTCATAGCTTGACTTGAAGCTTCTTTGAAGTACATTCGTAGTATTCATGGTATTCAAAGTATTATTGAGGTATATCATGTATTTTAGCCTAATTTTTTAAAAATTTAAATTCTTTATTGTTTAAAGTATTACATAAGTCTCCTTTTCCCCCCATAGACCTCTCCTCGACCACCACCACCCCCCAGCATATGCCCTCACTCCTCTACTATCTGTGTCCATGTGTATGCATATAAGTCCTTTGGTTGATCTCTTACCCCCTCAACCCCCGCCTTCCCTCATAGATTGGACAGTCTGTTCGATGCTTCTGTGACTCTGGTTCTATTTTTGTTAATCAGTTTATGTTGTTCATTATATTCCACAAATGAGTGAGATTATGTGATACTTTCTCTGACCTTATTTCACTTAGCAAAATGCTCTCCAGTTACATCCATGCTGTTGCAAATGGTAAGAATTCCTTCTTTTTTTTTTACAGCAGCATAGTATTCCATTGTGTAGATGTGCCACAGTTTTCTAATCTACTCATCTGCTGCGGGGCACTTGGACTGTTTCCAAATCTTAGCTATAAATTGTGCTGCTCTGAACATAGGGGTGCATATATCCTTTCTGATTAGTGTTTCTGTTTTCTTGGGATATATTCCTAGAAGTGAGATTACTGGGCCAAATGGGAGTTCCATTTTTAAGTTTTTGCGGAAATGCCATGCTGTTTTCCACAATGGCTGCATCAGTCTGCATTCCCACCAACAGTGCAAGAGGGTTCCTTTTTCTTCATATCCTCGCCAGTACTTGTTGTTTGATTTGTTGATAATAGCCACCTGACAAGTGTGAGATGGTACCTCATTGTTGTTTTGATTTGCATCTCTCGGGTGATTAGTGACTTTGAACATGTTTTCTTATGCCTTCTGTATGTCCTCTTTCGAAAAGTGTCTATTTAGGCCCTTTGCCCATTTTTTGATTGGGTTGTTTATCTTCCTTTTGTTAAGTTGTATGAGTTCCCTATAAATGTTGGAGATTAAACCCTTATCAGAGATAGCATTGGCAAATATGTTCTCCCATGCAGTGGGGTTTCTTGTTGTTTTGTTGATGGTTTCTTTTGCTGTGCAGAAGCTTTTTATTTTGATGTAGTCCCATTTGTTTATTTCCTCCTTAGTTTCCATTGCCCTAGGAGCTATATCGGTAAAGATATTGCTACAACAAATGTCTGCTATTTTGCTGCTTATGGCTTCTTCTAGGGTTTTTATGGTTTCCCGTCTTAGGTTTAAGTCCTTTATCCATTTTTAGTTTATTTTTGTGTATGGTGTAAATTGGTGGTCTAGTTTCATTTTTTTGCATGTACAAGTATCTGTCCAATTTTCCCAACACCATTTATTGAAGAGACTGTCTTGATTCCATTGTATGCTCTTGCCTCCTTTGTCAAATATTAATTGAGAATAATGGCTTGGTTCGATCTCTGGGTTCTCTGTTCTGTTCCATTGGTCTATATGTCTGTTCTTGTGCCACTACCTGGCAGTTTTGAGAACAGTGGCTGTGACCTAGCCTAATCTTGTTAATTTGAAATGCATAACTACAAGTCATTAACTAGAGTTTTACTAGAGAAGACGTGGACAACTAATAGAATTTTAAAAGTCAATGACTGTCTAGTATACCAGCTTTTAATAAAAGATTAACAATATGTGACTAGAACAAAAGCTGGAAATAAGAATTCTTTACTTAAAATCTGGGGAACACCCTCCCTGGTTTGACTCAGTGGATAAAGCATCGGCCTGCGGAATGAAAGGTCCCGGGTTCAATTCCAGTCAAGGGCATATGCGTGGTTGTGGGCTTGATCTCCAGTACGGGGCATGCAGGAGGCAGCCAATCAGGGATTCGCTCTCATCATTGATGTTTCTATCTCTCCCTCTCCCTTCCTCTCTGAATCAATAAAAATATAAAAAAAATAAAATCTTTGGTATATTTTACCATACCTAATTTTGTAAAGAATGTATGCTTGTGAGGATGTGTGTGTGTGTGTGTATGTATTTATTTGCTTTTCTATGATGGAGAATTTCAAACATACATAAAAGTTGGCAGACCTAGAAATGCCCTCCCATACTTCTACCCTTTGCCCTTCCTAAAATCTAGGATTTCAAAATAAGTTCTAGGCATCATATTTCATTTGTAAATCCTAATGTTTTTATATCATCAAAATATTCCATGAGTCTGCTATAAGATTTATTAAAACATAATTCTTTGTGGCTTCCTGGAGAGTATCATTTACAGAATTAGAAATTGAGTTTTCTTATTTTAAAACATGTGATGTTGTAATCTACTTAGAAAGATGGTTTTCCTTGACAAAATGGAGTAGATGTTGCTCTTTACACTTAATTTAATAGGGATTCTTTAGAGAAAGACTTTTTCAAGGTGACCGTGTATACTGTCTTGCCTTTTTCAGAATTAGATAAGGATTTCCTCCCCTTAAACTGTCTTTCTTTAATTTTTGAAAGTGTGGTATGGGATATACTTTATACTTCTTGTTGAACCATACATGACTATAGATACACAGGACCATAACTATTTGTACAAGTAACCTAAGACTCATTGAAGTTAAAGTGGCTTGATATTATCAGTTTGTTAATTTCTCATGGCACTAGAACTGGAACTCTAGTCTCTTCGGTCTAAATTTGTC